ATAAGTCAGCTAGGTTAGTTAAGTCAGCCGCTACGCACCTATATCTCGGCCGTAACGTAGTTCGTATCCTATTGCGGCTGAGTTTTATGCCGCATTCTTACGTGGACCCGAACTTTTTGCTTACGTGGCATAAAAAAGTAATGGCATTCTTGTAAATATGTTTTTTCTCACAACGTGAAAAAAGGGCACGCTGGGTATTTAAAAAAAGGTAGTAATAAAAAAAAGTTTTGTATGGTTGTGATAATAATTAGTAAAATTCATATTAGTTGAGTTAACTTCCCAATTTTAAAAGTTACTTGTTGTAATATTTATTCTTGTAAGTATTATATAATTCAATACTAGGTGTTTTCATGTGCAGCAATAAAAATTTTAAATTGTATTTAAAAATACAAATTTTATTAATATTCTAACTTTTACTATTTTCATACTAATATTTAATACAAATTTTAGTTTAAGTAAACATAAAATTAAGTTAAAAATACATTTTAATTTATTTTAAATTATATTTAAGAAATATATATATATATATAATTATAATCGGTATATTTAAAAAATACTTCTTTTCGTTTATTTGAAATACAGGGCTAGCCGGCTAAGACTAATAAGTTATTTTATGACTTATTAATAACACGATAGGTCACTTATGTATATCCAGACACTTTTGCCAACTAAACCACATGAAAATGTCTAGTTAAATTAACTAGAGTAACTATTAGAATAATCAAAATCATGCGATCTGGCCCACAACAATTTTAAAGTAGTTTGTATCTTCTTTGTGTTCACTTCGTCGTAAACAAAGCCGTAAATCAAAAAAGTATTAAACTAATGAGTTTTGTTATTTTTTAATAAAAATTGGATCTGATTAGAGCTTTTGTAATCATAATCAAACTCTTTGTTAGGAAACTATGTTTATGATGATGAAGAAAGATCTTGCCGTCCCGGCCATCTTCAGATCGAGAAGCTTGAGAAATCCTCCAATGGTGAATTTTTAATTATTTTCACAATTTGGTCCTCTTAAATAACTTGTTTACAAATCGGCCCCAAACTTTGCACTCTAAGAAACATCGGGTCCGATTGGTAATGGCTGTAGCTTTATAGTTTTTGCTGTAGAAAAAAATCTGTAGACTTTTTGCTGTTGCTTTAGATTTTATTGCTGTAGATTTTTTGGAAAGCACTAAAAAATTGCTTTGGATATTTGGCTCTGCAGAGCACTTATATAGCTGTAGATCATTTCAAGAGCTGTGATTTCAAAAAAAAAAATTAAAGTTTGATTGCTCTAAATTTAGTGCTGTAGAAATAAATAGGGCTGTGGACAGCACCTACAGCAACTACCAATCACCCCCATCATTTCGAACCAGCCTAGACTTTCACATTCTGCATTTCAAACTTCTCGAAAATTGCACTAGGGGTCCTCGGAATCTTAAATGATTTTCACTTCGAAGTTCGACCCATACACTTTCCTATATGCATAAATATCCTCTTAATTTTGTCAGGAACTTCAAAATGTGAATTCCAAACTCTGTCAAATGTAAATGTACAAGTATGTACACTATATACATAGATCAGTGTATAGAAGTTATATTCTTCTTCAATAATACCATTTCCAAAGTTTCATTTTGTAAATAAACAGTCTACAACTTGTCAAATACAAATCTACAAATATATGCCAAAGTTTTATTTAATAAATAAATTATTTTTTCACTAAATTAAGATTGTAAGATCATGAGATATCAAAATGGAGGTAATGTATTTGTCTAAAAATTATTTGAATTAAGATGGTAAAAACCATTAAAATGATAAACATACACCTAAGTGAAATATAAAATGATCTATATTAACAAAAAAGATACTCTAAATCATCTAAATGAAACCTAAAATGCATCTACCAAATTTACCATGTGTACAAGTTAATTGGTGTACATATTAATTGTTGTACATGTGGATAGTGAATATTTCGTGTACACCTAATCATATATACATACATATGTATTGTGATAGATTTATCTAAAAAATAATTAAATTAAGATGGTAAAATCCAATTAAATTCAATATACACACCTAAATGAAATAAAATGATCTAAATTAATAATAAAGATCCTCTAAATTATATTAATATAACCTAAAATGTATCTACCAATTTTACCATATGTACAAATTAACTGGTGTACATATGAGTCATTGTATGTGGATAGAAATATTTCAGTGTACACCTGATCATATACATATAAATATACATTTATCATAACTTCTGTAATGTATAGATAGGCCGATCTACGTGTGATTTTCTATGAAACATTGTGTATGTGTACAATAAAATGTTTTTGTACACAATGACAATATTTGGCATTTAAATACTTAAAGGGTGAATTGGCTCAATACCATAAAAGAGAGAAATATCTAAGAATTGGGGAGAAAAAAGTGATATGTGGGGAGGAGAGAAGTAGAAAGAATTAGGGTATATTCTTAATTATAGGATTTTGTGTGTATAGAGGGTGCAAATACTCATTATTGTATGTGGATATGGTCAATAGATTTATGGATATAGTGTACATATAGATATACTGTATAACAATTTTGAAGTTCCATAACAAAGTTAAAAATATATTTTAACACAATTTGTCAATAAAATTTAAAACCTTTTAATTATACTCTATTATGTTCAATATCATTACAAATTAATATTCTTAATAGTAGCTAATTAGAATGGAGCTGTTTAATTGTGGTCAAAAAAGGTATGAAAAAAAAACAAACAGTGTGATGTATATTGTAGAGGTTAGATTGCACAATTTCAGTTTCAGGGAAATTATAAAGGATGTATGTGCAAATTTGATTGTTTAGGCCAAACTAAGAATAACCTAAAAATTAAGGGATCAAACATGCAAAAACGTGAGAGTTGGTCATTGTCGCTCAGGTTTCTTTGTGCGATTAAATCGGAGCCACCGCAGCGGAATCTGAACATCACGACTACCACAAGCTACTAACACAGTATGAAGGAAATTAGTTACAGAACACAACATGGCGGAAGACGTTGTTCGTGTTGATTTCACGGTAAAGGAGGAGACGAACCATGACGGCTTGGCAATCGAGCTTGACTGAAATTTCCGGTGGTCACGGAAGAAGACCAAGAATCATGACAAAGAGGAGCATAATTTTCAAAAACAGGAAGTTGAGTTGTAGATGGTGACTGTGAAAACAAAAGAAAACATAGAGATGGAAAATGAGAAAGGGAAAGAGATAACGAAAAAGAAAAAATATTCTTAAAATATATTAAAAAATTATTTAGTTAGAAATCTTCTAGTTAGATGTCTTTAGTAATTTATTAGATAAAATATTGAATTCTAGTTGGAAAAAGTGTCTATGTAGCAAAATGTGACCTATATTGTATAAAAATCTTAAAAGTGACTTGTAGTGTAAAAACAAGTTTTTCTCTAGTTTCAGTTGTGAACTTCGTGCTTGGTGCACTATTTTCTTTGTCCCGGGAATTCAGATTCTGATGTTAGAGAAGTCGTTAAAGGGACGACGAGATTTGTTGATACAAATGGTAAACTAGTTCATCATAAACACAAAGAGTTTCTACGACTTCTTGAGCAAATACATTCCATGTCTAAGCTCTAGTTTCTCTTCAGCGACTAACCCAGAAAGTAAGCTCTGAAGCTGTTGCAGTGACTTGTCGTAAGCAGGATCAGCTACACATAACATCTGCAAAACAAAGCAAAAAAGGATCTTTACCAAGAAAACAAACTTGTAAATTCAATGTGAGAAGAGGTTTGATGCCTTTTGATAGTACATACCTTGAGCCTGTTATGGATTTGTTCTAGTGCCATGCTACCATTTGTGAGCATCCCCATAATGAAGTTCTGATAAACATTGTTGAGAATTTTTTAGATTTTTAAGCAAAATGATAAGTAGAATAATATTTGCCCTTGAGCATCATCAATACCTTGTATATTGTCGTTTCTTTCCGAAGCTGGTCTTCCACATAGGCTATCGATCTTTCACTCTCTTCATCACTTTCCCAAAGCTCCTCGTTTTCGTTCTTTCCAGAATCAGCTATGGATTCAACAAGCATATACACATTGGCGTTTGACTCTCTCAAAACTCCCTAATTTGACGAAAACTTTACAAGTTAGCTCTTCCTCCAAATGAAATGGTTTAAAGCAGAACACTAAAACTACAACTACGGTATGTACCTTGCTTATCCAGAAGTTTACTCTTCGGTTTAATACATCTATGGGTATCCCAGTGGCTGCAGCAAGATCTATAGAGGTCCATCTGAAAGAAAGATTTACATGATTTTAGTAACATTGGAAGAAAAAATTTGCCATAATGATTGATTCATGTAAGGTACATTTTCTTTTCTTGAAATTGCATGATAATGGCTGCATGTGTGGGGGAAACTGTGAACAGCAGAGCCCTGTCTTCAAATTGCAACTCCAACTGAAATTCATCCAAACCATTTCAAGGAGATACATTTTTTTCAGTATATGCTTTCTCTGGTAATCAAAACAAAACATGAATCATTCACTAGTAAATGTATTTAGTGGTGAAAATTACCTTGACAGCGCCAAGATTTTTCTTCCAAAGTAGCTTACGAGGGGTCTTGATTTCGTGATATCGATTGGCATAATCTGATAGCAGCTTGTGAATAGGTGCAGGTAACTCCAGGGTCTCATCCTGAAAATTCCTCCTCCAATTAAGCAAATAGAAGCAATCACAATAATCTATACACTTCAGAGATATGGATGAAAGAAAAATCAGAGTGAAGAATACAGAACTATCTGAATTGGTGGCCAAAAGTTTGTTGAAAGTATCGTTGAGGTAAGAATATCAATCGACAGTTCACTCTCTCCTAACTCAGTGCCTAAAGACGAGGGATGAACACATATAAGATTCAGACAGGAATCCACATTGCACGGGTAAAATTGAGAACAAGCCAGATATATAACCTGTCTGAGATGCCTTTTTAATGTTAGTGTTCACTCTCTTAGAGTCAATCAGGTCGTTCAGCATTATCTCACATCTTTGCATACTAGCTTCTCCAAAATGTATCTATTGGCGTTATAGGATAGAGACAAAGTTAGATTCAAAAATGTAGAAACAAGATAAAAATTTAGAGTGAAAGAATGGAGATTACCTTAAGAAACTCTACAGTGCGTATCTCAGTGTCGATGTCATAATCAGTCTTGTTGAGAAGCTTCTCAGCGAGAATGATACGATATTCGTTCACTAGTTTCTCTTTAGATCCAATTATATCAACAAGCATTCCGAGTATGTCTACCTTCCTCTGATTGAGACTACCTTTTAAAGGATCAGCAATGACAGGGTCTGGTTCCCAACTGAAGACAAAGTAGAATAAGATGTGTTATGACAAATCCAATGCCATTAAAGATGATGAACCAAAAAGACATAGAGCAGAAAGAATACCGAGAAGCATTGATCCATGCTCTCTTATCATCGGTGTGAAAATCATCATCAGAACCAACATTCTCTTGATTTTCTTCATCCCTCATCAACTCTTCAAGAAGACTATCCCCAGGGTTTCGAGAACCATTTGCATTCCCTTCGCTTCCATCCGTAAGCATAGTGACAATACATTTAACGGTGTCTTTCCGACCACGTAAATAGTCTCTGATTGGCTCAGCCACTGCTTCCAGAAACACACCAGCTGGGTCTATTGCTCTAAGGGCTTTAATGGTCGACACATACTGATGCAATATATCATTTGTTGACGCACCGGCAGTAAGCAAACGATATTTCAGCGACGAAATAAAAGGTTCAGCTAGCTTTGAGTGCTGTCCAGTAAATTCAAGGCACTGTTTCAAGTCTTCAATAGCAGAAGAACTGTTACATATTGTTGCACTATTTAAAATGCGTCTAAAGTAAGATATGTGGGAAAGGAAAAAAAAAAGACTAAATACCTCTCAGGATAATCAACCATGATCTCAAATAGTTTGGCTATCCTTAAATCTTGCAGTGTCTCATGCGCAAAATATTCAAGCCGTAATCTCCACCTAACAATTACTTCGGAAGGAGTCACCACTTTGGAAATGCTTGGAGATGGACAGCAAGCCAGAAGAGAGGTAAGGCCAGACGATGTGGTATCATAACTTACGGAATCACCAATATAAGAAAGAAGCTCATTAAGGAACTGAAGAGGGACTGCCTGGAAAGAGAACTCTATTGTCAGGAATCATCAAATAACCGAAACAGTCTGATGGTACAATGAGATCTACCTGAATCCATTCTTTTATTGATCCCAAAACAGAAGTCCTGTAATCATCACCAGCCAGATCATGCAATTTTTCCTGGAGATATATACACATTGCCAAACAGGACACACATTATATGTATAGTGACTACACATACAGTGTTTAGAAGTCCCAGTGAGGCAGATTCTGACGCATAAAAGTACCTTGAGAAGTAAAAAGATTGCGGAAGCATAAGCGTTTTCAGCCAAAGATGTGAATCCAATGCTTCTAAGGTCACGGACCACTTTCCCAATGTTCTTCACCAGCTCATCATGTCTTGGATAGCCTTCATCAACATCCATTTCTCCATTTTCAGATCCCAGCTTTTCGTCCAAATCCATGCCATCACTTTCATGTTCTTCATCCATGATTGCGCTTAGCTCCTCCAACTTTTCCTTAAAATACCAGTGGAGTATTTCTAACAACATACATAATAAAGAGAGGAAAATTATGAGAGTAACAACAGAAAATGGTCAAAACAAGTGGAAAAGATACAGATAATTATGAAGGAACACACTACTGGCTCATTGATTATTTAGATCAAGCCACATTCAAAAATCAACAACGAAGAAGCTATGGAAAGTTGTTTATACCAGGAAAATGCTGTGGAAGAGTAGTCATGAGAGTGGAAGACAACACTGAGTGGAATCTAGAAAAAAGTTGTTGAACTCTTTCAGCATCTGACTTCTGCATTTCCTCTGAAGAATGTTCTTTAAATGACTGCAAAGCATGAACAACCATGGAGAGACACTTGTCATGAGACTGCTTTTCCGTAGATACTTCCTCCAAAGCCTTGCATAACACTTGATGAATCTCTTTTCCATACTTCTGTCCACAAGCACACATATATATATATACATATAAATGGAAAAATAAAAACAGTCAATCTCAGAATACGTATTAAATCATCCGTTGTACATACTTACAGTATGATTCTTGTCGCTGTAATCATCAAAATGATGCCAAAAACTCGATGCAACACTCTTCTCGAAAGCTTGCTGAAACAAAACAAGTGTCGATCATGAGAATTCTACAAGACTAAACCACTAAGTTGAGAAACTGGGAAGTTGAAGGGCTTAAGAAGAGTAGGATAATAAAACAAGAAAAAAACATTGTACCTCGAGCGATATGAGAAAGTGGTCACGAACAAGAGAATCAAGGCCGTACTTGCAGAGAGTAGAGACATGAGACATCAACTCCATCTTGACTTCGGTGCCGTCATTAATGAGAGATTCCACGGTGGTGAAAAACCCATCGTAGCTTTCTGTAATTTCCCGAACCGCATCGTCCGTTAGAGTCCCTAGATTGTACTCCGATGACCCTAAAAGCTCCATCCTTTTTAACTACAGTATCCTAAAATCCTACGGAAGAACTATCTGGTCGGAATTTTGAAAGCAGGACTCTACACGGTTTTTAAACGCTCTTTTCTGGGCCTAACTTGGGCTTGGAAGAAAATGATCCGGTTATGCGTAAAGCCTGATAATTAAAACCGATAGAAATATAAAATTGCCACTTGGTTACATCTTATTCTCCGCAACATCTCTTTTAGGGTTTAATCGATTCTGCAAAAGAGAAGAGAGCGCCTTCCAAATCGTATTCAATGGCGGACGACGATTACAATGAACCTGATGATTTGGGGTATTATATCTCTTTGTTTCCTATGCTTGTTCTAGGTTTCTCTCGATTTCAAAGGATTCAATTGATTGGCCGGCTGCAAGTATCGATCCCAAACCCTAATTTCGTGGTCGGTTGATACATAAAGATGCTATTATTGCAGCCGCTAAAATTTTTGGAGCTCTTAATCACAGAGAAGCTATTCTTTGCAAAATTGAACATTAACTTTCTTGTAAACATGTTTTTTTCCTTTCCCCCTGGAATGATTACATTAACTTTTGATGAAACTTGAAGCTGTTGCACCATTAAAGTTTTTTTCATTCGATTGCAAAATTTTTAATGTTGTCTCAATTGTTTTTTTACCCCTGTAGTTATGAGGATGAGCCAGTGGAGCCTGAGATAGAAGTAAGTTACATCTTCTCTTTTTTTTGGGACAAGACTGATATTGCTAGTTTCTGATTAGTTTTTCCTTTTTAATGAGTAGGACGGAATAGAGGAAGATGCTGATATGAAAGATAACGAGGATATCAATGGGGAGCCTCTTGAAACTGAAGACAAGGTCGAGACAGAACCTGTACAACGTCCTCGCAAAACCTCCAAGTTTATGACCAAGTATGAACGTGCACGTATCCTTGGTACTCGTGCTCTGCAAATTAGGTCGGCTTCTTCACTTTCTCTGTTGCTATTGCTTCATGTCTCTCAAATATATCTATTAAGTTAGATTAGTGGAGAAGTTATCATCATGGTTTATATAAAGCTTGGTGAGGCTATTCTTTGATCTATCTCTCATATTGTCGTTAAATGGTTCGCCATTTACTCATATCTTAAGTTTGTTAATAATTTAACATCATGTGTTGTAAAAGCTAGATGAGGACACTCTATTCAACTGACATCAATCTTTGTTCTGTTATCATATAACTGTTTTAAGTTGTGTTGAGAAGTTATGTTGTGATTTTTCTTGGCTGATACAGCATGAATGCTCCGGTCATGGTCGAGCTTGAGGGTGAGACCGACCCGCTTGAGGTGCTTACTACTTTAGGCTTCACTTACTTATCCTTGTTCTCTCTGGACATTTGATCTAACCGTAAAGATATTGGGTTATTATAAGATTGCTATGAAGGAGCTCAGGCAAAGGAAGATACCATTCACTATTAGACGTTACCTACCTGATGGGAGGTGAGTTTACTACACGTTAGTCATAATGTTGATGATTCTCTTACTTATTACTCACTTGACATATGTTTCTTTTGTTTTGTTTATTATGATTCTGAATGCAGTTTTGAGGAGTGGGGAGTTGATGAGTTGATCGTTGAAGACTCGTGGAAACGTCAAGTTGGTGGTGATTGATAATACTGTTATTGCCCAAATACTATTATGTAATTTGCAAGAAGCTTGTTACTTGTGATGACGGTTGATGAATTCTCTGCTATGTTAGCCACAAGCTGATGAATTTTAATGTATTAACCGCCTTGTTTACTTTTTTTTGTATTAACCACTTAATCGAATAGAGAGGAGAAAGTGAACCGGAGGTAACTAACATATTGGTTTTCTATCATGTTATATTAGAAACCTGTTATGCTAACGGAAAGCTTGAGGTCTACAGTTTCAACAAAATAATTAGAATTCAAATTTGGTTTTTGGTGTTGAGCTATACTTTTCTAATTTGGTTCCGGTTAAATTCGGTTAACTTGAAACCAAACGAATTAGAGATTAAACCCGTGGAATCACAAATATCTGTTTTCTGAGATCCTCTCGGCGACTTAGCAGAAGAGTCAAGCTCCCGCTTCAACAATGGCGGATCACCACAATCATCACCAACAACATCGACCAAATCGTCTATCAGTACCACCAAGAACCGCCTCAATCGGGAGAACATATCCTTCATTCCCATACACTCCAACACCAACCCCTTCCAAAACCCGAATCAGATCGACCCATGGAACCACCACTAAATCCTCAATTTCATTTCTCCTCCTCATCCTCTTCTCTCTCCGATCTCTCTACTCTCTCCTACCTTTCCTCCGCTCTTCCCCTTCCTTCTCCCTCTTCCCTTTCTCCTTCCTCGTCTCCCTCCTCTCCTTCCTCTTCTCCCTCGCTTTCACTCTCTTCTCCCCCTCCAAGAAAGACTCATTCCTCCGCCACAACAACCGCACCCTCTTCTCAATCGCATCATCTCTCTCCTCCTCCCAATTCAAACTCATACTCGCGAAATCCCTGTTTCTAGCAGTCGTCTTCCTCCTCCGATTCCAAGCTCTCCGTTACTGCAGCGCAGCTGCTATGATCTTAGCCGAGCTCTCCGGCACTGTCTCCGCCAGAGTCTTATCACGCGATCACGGTGGAATTCGATCATCATCATCCAAGGCTCGTGGCTTTTGCATACTCTTCGCGGGGCTGTTATTGTTATCAATCAGCTGGGATCGTGTGGATTGCTTCCCTTTCTCTTCCTCATCTCTACATAATTGCTTGAGAATCTGGCCTATGTTGCTTCCCTTTCTATCCGGCTTCTTAGGTTGTTACGAGAAAGTCTCCGTCGAGATCAAACAGCTTGATCAGAAACGCGTTCGTTTGATAACATTGTTTCTAACCACCGTCTTGTTGTTCCCACTTGCTCTCTGGAGTTTTATCTTCTCTGCAAATGATGAAGTTAGTGTCTCCATCGGGAATCTAGGTTGGCCGTTAGCGAACACCGTCGTATTCGGAGTACTCTTGAGTGAGAGTTACAACGAAGATAAGTTGAAGAAGAAAGATTCCGAGAGAGAGTTTCTTGTTACGTTTCTTTGCACTATCGTATTGGAACTCTTTTACTTTCCCGAGCTTTCTCTTTGGGGACTGTTGTTATGTGGTTTCTTGCTTTACGTTGCTGTTAGAGAGTTGGACTCTTCGGATTATTATCATCAAGAGATTGGGATGGAATCTCCGGAATCGTTTTTAACCGTTTTTATGAGACCTATCCGTCATATTTTGAGTGAGAAGAAGTCTAGGAAGATTGCGCTTTTTCTTTTGATCAATACTGCGTATATGGTTGTTGAGTTTGTTGCGGGTTTCATGAGCAATAGTCTTGGACTTATATCTGATGCGTGTCACATGTTGTTTGATTGTGCTGCTTTGGCGATTGGGTTGTATGCGTCTTACATCTCTCGTCTTCCTGCTAACCATCAGTTTAACTACGGTCGTGGGAGGTTTGAGGTGCTTTCTGGTTATGTCAATGCGGTGTTTCTTGTTCTTGTTGGAGCTCTGATTGTGCTTGAGTCTATTGAGAGGATCTTGGATCCTCAAGAGATTTCTACGAATAGTCTTTTGGTTGTTTCGGTTGGTGGGCTTCTTGTGAATGTTGTTGGGTTGATCTTTTTCCACGAGGAGCATCATCATGCTCATGGTGGAGGATCTGGTTGCACACATTCTCACTCGCACCAGTCCCATAGCCATGAGGAGCATCACGAGCATGATCATCATCAGCATCATTCCCATAGCCATAAACATGAGGAGCATCATGAGCATGATCATCATCAGCATCATTCCCATAACCATAAACATGAGGAGCATGTTGAGCATGGTCATCAGTATCATTCCCATAACCATGAGGAAGGTCATGAATGCAACCACAACCATGACCATCATCATTCTCATAACCATACTCATGAGGAGCATCATGAAGACAAACACAGCCAGGGGAAAGATCAGGAGCATCATCATCATTCTGATCATAAACCCACGAAAGGTGAAAACAAGGAGCATCACCATATTGACCATAACATGGAAGGGATCTTCCTTCATGTTTTAGCAGACACAATGGGGAGTGTTGGAGTTGTGGTTTCGACACTCTTGATCAAATACAAGGGCTGGTTAGTTGCAGATCCAGCAAGCTCAATCTTTATCTCCATCCTCATCATCGCTTCAGTCATTCCGTTACTCAGAAACTCTGCAGGGATTCTACTGCAGAGAGTCCCCAAGGCTCACGAGCATGACCTTAGAGAAGCAATGAGGAACATCCTCAAGACGAAAGGCGTTTGCAGTATCCAGAGACTGCATGTATGGAGCTTCACGAATTCAGACGTGGTGGCTACTCTGCATCTCCTTGTATCTGCTGATTCAGACAAGACGGATACAAAGTTGCAAGTTTCACGTTTGTTAGAAGATGCAGGAGTAAAAGATTTGACTTTGCAGGTTGAATTTGTTAACTCATAGCAATTTATATAGTTTTGAGAGTTGTCACTAGACAGACAAACATCTAAAACTTGTTTCATTGTTTCAAAATAAAATGTTTCAATAACTTCTGTGAGTTTTCATTAAAGAGCTGACCATGGATACATACATGAATAGTGTACTAAAACCGAACAAAAGGTCTGACTTCAAAACTTTTGTTTTGCAGTTACATTTATATATATGCGTATTCAAAATAAAACATGCAGAACTCTCCATGATCAGCTTCATCAGGTATATTGCTTTTCATCAGAGAAATCTCAGAGTTGTCGTGTTGTTAGGAATGTTGGAGCTAGAGAGATGGTAGAGTATATGCCTGAAGTAGTTTGTTCTCATAAACATAGCTTGATGACATGTCTGGAAAATCTTGAGAGAAACTAGGGTTACCACCATAAAGGTCCTGAAAACCAAAACAGAAGTCACCTGAAGCTATGTTTGAGAGACAAGGATCCAGAACGTTGTAGCTGTTGATAGTATCACCCATACACATGTTCTGATCAAAGCCATAAAGCTCATGCTGCATCAACTGATTCAACCCGTAGTTACTCACAGGTTCTTGTAGCTCTGGTGGGAACACTGAGTGATCTGGTGTGTTTGAGGAGCCGTAGGGATGTTGAAAGTTGTTACCCATACACATCATGTTCTGATCATAAGGCATCAACTGATAATGTAACCCAGATTCTTGTACCGCTGAGTAATCTGAAAGGCAGAGATGTTGAAAGCTGTTGTTGTTGTTCTGATCATAAACACAAGACTCTTGTGGGTACTTGGTGACGTGGCTAGGGTTCAAAGATTGTTGACGATCATCCATGTTTGCTTTTGCCTCAAGAAAACGATGCCTTTCTTGCAAAGTAGAGTAACCTAGTTCCAAAGACTGAATCAGTTGGTTGATTTGGTCGGAAGAGTAATGATCGGAGATTGGATTCTTTAATTCTTCATCAACATTCTTCTTCTTCAAACTGGTCACCGTCTTCTTCTTCTTCTTCTTCTTCTTCTTGAGGAACCCGTAAAGATCGACGCTTTTCTTGAGTCTCTTGGGTTTGTCTAATTGGATGTAGCGGAGAGCGAGGGATCTCACTTTGTCTCTGTTCTCAGGCCATGTCCTCAGTTCTCCGTCAGGTCCGTAATGAATAACGCAAGCTTCGATATCACAGAGAGTTGTAAGTTCCCGTGCTTTCTTGAATATCGTCAAGAGTCTGCTTTCCAAACTTGTTGCAGCGAGTGAATAACTAGAAGAAGAGCACTTGGAACAAGAGGGAGAAAGGGGTGGTCGCATGGTGGCTTTTCTTGTTGATTCTCTAAACACGCTCTGTTTTTTCTCTCGCACACGAAGAAGGAAGAAGAAAACAAATGAAATTGTCGTGAGAAGTTTTTTTTTTGAGCTGCTGTGTGATATATTTATAGACTTTTCTTTGATCGCGGTGAAAAAAAGAAAGATTTACTTCAGAAATCATGTAGCCGTTGAGGATTGTGAGAAGATTTACTTCAGATTCTTTTACCCTTCAGTCCCTCCTCATTAAAGAACACGGTAATGTCATGTGCGTTAGATTTTGTTTGATTTGTTTGGGATAAGATATTTCGTAATCTCTCAGTTGAGTATAGGAAACCAGAATCCTTTTTTCAAACCGATTTTCGGTTTAACGCGATTTATCCGATACTACGTTTTCACTCTCAAGTTAAATTGGGATCCGCCGATTCAAAACCCGAGATTGCTAGCGGGAGGAGAGGACTAACCCTAAATTGTTACCGGCTTTTCTCGGATGGCAGCGTAGAGCTATTAATATTGTGATGTACTAGTCTAGAGATTTTGAAAATGCCAACAAGGATCACTCTATCCTAATCACGGTTGATATAAATCGAACCAACAGTTATGTGAAAACTACTTTAAACAAGACATGCTATAATTAAAGAGCAATATTAGAGAAGCTTGTTAGTGTCGCTCACATATGATGTTACCATAAAAAGGTTCCTGCAAAATGTTATGGAGGACACATCATTCGGAAGATGATGATGAAGAAGAAGCTTCTGTTGATATACCACATGAGGCGTTCAAAGTCTTGTAAGAGAGAAAGACGATCGATGTATAGAAACGTCATTGACTATCTACTTACAGCAGAAGTAAAGAAACATCTCTTTCAAAACAAAACCACAGGCTGATTTGATTAATATATATATATATATATACACCGAATTTGCAAATTGATCAAAACATAGACACAAGACAATATACTAGTAAACTTTAGAAGTAAAAGAGGATTTACTATCCTTATTACGTTTCTACGAAGTTACAAACACATATACTGTTTCTAAAAAGTCAGAAATTTCATAGAACAGGAGGTTACAAACGTTACAAACACATATACTGTTTCTGGAAAAAAAAATTCATTACAAGAGAACTTTGATCAGATCTGTAAGAGATTCTTTAATTTTGACGAACTCTAGCTTTTCTGACTTTCTTGTTGTGACAATCAACAAGAAATACATATCATAAGTTTGAGACATGTTGAGCACAGAAAGGACTAAAAGATATGCAGCAGAAACAATCTAATAGGGTAGAAATAAGAACCATATCATTCAAACAAAACCATAGGTTAGATTAACATATCGACCAAACTTGCAATTGTTACATCAAAATATAGAACAACTGATTACGAGACATATACTGTTTCTAAAATAAGAATCACAAAATTCCATTACAAGAAGAAGAGATGAATCTTTGCATGAGATTATTATCTATCTTTTGACGAACTCTAGCTAGGGCTTTTCTTGATTTTAGCTCTTTAATGATTTTCTTGGTGATCAGATCCGTAGGTTTTAAAAAAGATGTTCAACTCTGACTTCAGCTTTCTTGGCTTTGATTCACTTCATGGCTTTAATTTGAGCATCGAACCTCTCAATCCTCTCCGATAAGGCTTTGGCCATCACCTTCTTCTTCATCAAAGGGTCTCTCGCAAAATCATCATGTGAGAACTCCAACTCCCCAGGGCCCTTTACGACTGTTTTGAAGCCATGAGAACGAAGTTTTGCTACAAACTCTGTTAAGTTTCTGCCCAATAATACTCCAGATGAGGATTTCAGAAGGATGTTTGTGCGAAGCCTTTTCATGTCCCAAACGATGAAACTGTTGTTGTTTGTTTTGCTCCACGAGATGATCTGATCCGATGAATGATCATCCACTATCTGATATAGCTGGACGTAGAAGCAAGAAGAAGATTCTATTGAGAGTTTGCAACTCATCTTCTTTGTTTGGGATTGAGATCTCTGGGTAAAGATGAAGAACCCAAAACTGAATACGAAGCAAACCCTAAACCTCAGAGAGATAAAACAGAAATCGAGAGAGTAAAAAAAAAATAAGGGAAACTTTGTGAGTAGCTCTTTGGTGGAAACTGTAACTATATATAGAGAGATATTGATTTCAACGGTCATGTGGTTAAACTTTCCTTTTTTCTGTTTAAGCAATCTAACGGTTAAGATTTGATAGGAAGTTATCAACGGTCATAAAATACAAAGTCGGTTTGACATCAATTTTTTTTTTTTTGCCGTGTGTCTTCTGTCACAAAAACAAAGACCGGCACCGTTTCATCCCTGCCAAAGCAAAGCCGTTTAATCGGTTGTGTTTCAGTTCTCTACTACCCTCCCTTCATTTTCGCGCTAAATTGGAGGAGAATCTTGCTTAGACTTATGAACTCTGTATCCTATAGAAACTGGGTTTACCTGATCTTCTTTTAAAAAATTGGACATTAGTTTTTCTTTTATTTATAAAGGATGGAAGAAAATTCGAATTGAGAAGGATATAGTTAAAAAGTGAAAAACATTGGTCTCTGATTCAAAGATTTGGAGAGAGTGAGAGAGAGGCCTAAAATCAAATGGCTCTGTTTTGACGAGGCCAATTAGTTTCTTGATCTTATTACTGAGGTCTCGTTTATGTCTCCAGCAGCTTCTCTCTCCTCTTGACTTTTATCTTTTTTTTATTCTTCCATCAGTTTCCATACTTGAATTATATTTTCACTTTGCTTTGGGTTATGATGCTACCTTGAAGAAGAATGATGTCTTAAAATCCTTTTGAACATAGCAAGTGAGAGTGAAGTGTATAAGTAGTCTTTGTTATAAAATTGTAAGTTTGGTGTTTTGTTTTGGCTGTTATATATAGAGTAGTGAGAGATAAGTAACATAAAACAAAATAATGTTTTGAAATTAATTCTTTTGAAACAAAAGAAGGATCTGCTGTGACAATCAACGAGAGAAATACATATCACAATGTTTCTAAATCAAATGTTTCACTAAGTTTTGTGAGTTTTCATGATATAGGAATAGTGTACTAAACCAAACAAAGGGCCTGACTTAAAAATTGGTTTATATAAAAATGAAAATATGCAGATGCATAAACAGCTTCACGCTCTATGATCAGCTACCTCATCAGGTAAATTACGAGGAATCTCAGTTTTGTAGTTAGGAATGCAGGTGGAGTTAGAGAGATGGTAGAGTATATCCTTGAAGCAGTCTGATCAACTGATAATGTAAGCCATATTCTTGTACCTCTGAGTAATCTGAAAGGCATAGATGTTGAAAGTTGTTGTTTTTCTGATCATGAACACAAGACTCTTCTGGGTACTTGGTGACGTGGCTAGGGTTCAAAGATTGTTGACGATCCTCCAAGTTTGCTTTTGCCTTAAGAAAACGACGTCTTTCTTGAAAACTAGAGTAACTTAGTTCCAAAGACTGAATCAGTTGGTTGATTTGGAGATTGGATACTTTAATTCTTCATCAACATTCTTCTTGGCTTTCTTCTTCAAACTGGTCACCGTCTTCTTCTTCTTGTTGAGGAACTTGTAAAGATCGACGCTTTTCTTGAGTCTCTTGGCTTTGTCTAATTGGATGTAGCAGAGAGCGAGGGATCTCACTTTGTCTCTGTCCTCGGGCCATGTCTTGACTTCGCCGTCTGGTCCGTAATGAATGACGCAGGTTTCGATATCACAGAGAGTTGTAAGTTCTTGAGCTTTCTTGAATATCGTCAAGAGTCTGCTTTCCAAACTCGTTGCAGAGAGTGAATAACTAGAAGAAGAAGAAGAAGAAGAAGAAGAAGAAGAAGAAGAAGAAGAGCACTTGGAACAAGAGGAAGAAAGAGGTGGTCGCATGGTGGCTTTTCTTGTTGATTCCCGAAACACGAAAAAGGAAGAAGAAGAAAACAAATGAAATTTGTCGTGAAAAACTTTGTGAATTTGTGTGTGATCATATATTTATAGATTTTTCGTTGATTGTGCGATGAAAAAAGGAAAGATTTACTTCTGAAATTATATAGCCGTTGAGGATTGTGAAAAAGGAAAGATTTATTTCAGATTTTTTTACCCTTCACTCTCTCCTTGTTAGTGAACACGGTAATGCCATGTGCTTAAGATTTTGTTTGATTTGTTTTTGATAGATTTTTCGTATGTTCTTTTCCAAAAATAAGATTCTTCGAATTCTATCATCTATCGTATTCAAAAACTCCAATCCTGGTATTAAACCGATTTCGGTTTTGAAATAGCTATCTAATTTAATTTTATTTCCGGTTTAATCCAATATTAGTCCAGTCTTTGTGTAATTTCACATTTCGTTTGGGACAATGTAACCTTATAGTTAAAAATAAACTAGAAATTGACCCGCACATTCGTACAGGTATATTTTCTATTTTATAAATATATAATTTTGATATTATCATAAATATTTTAGATATATAATTTATATTTAGTGTTATATATTATATAAGTCATAATTTTATTGCTTAGTTTTTTTAATACATTACTAATATATTGTGATTTGTTTATTCTTTTTTATTAATTACTATTACGTTTCTGAATTTGGTACAATAAATGTATAATCTGAAATAATCAAATAATAAATTTCTTTTAATATATCTTTTTGAAAATATATAGTTGTAGAATAAAAAGTTTAACATATATTAATAACTTTATTTTTGTATAAGAATATTACATTGTTAACAAACTTTAACATGTTTTAATGTAGATAATAATTTATATAAATGAAAGTATTATTTAAAAACAAAATAAGTTACTATTTCAGTTTAATATAATTTGTCATATTTAATTTATATAATAATTCTGTTTTAGTATAATATAAACTATAACAAAACTTATAAAAGTAGAATATATATAACTATTTTTATAATCAGAAATAATCAAATAACAATCTTCTTTAAAATATATATTTTGAAAATAGTTGTAGAATCAAAAGTTTAACATATGTTAGTAACTTTATTTTTTATAAGAATATTACCTAGTTAACAAATTTAACCCATTTTAATGGTAGATAAGAATTTATTTAAATGAAATTATTTTTAAAAATAAATTGGCTAGTTTATTAATTTAATATTATTTGTCATATTTAATTTATATAATACTTCTATTTAAAATAATATAGCCTATAAGAAAATTTATAAAAATAAAATATGTTTTTATTTTTGTTTTATATAATAGTTAATTAATATTAATTTAAAATAATATTATATTATTAATTACAAAATTAATTAATACTTTATTTCCTACATAATTAAAAAATTTAGTAGGATTTTGTTAGATTTTTTCTAAACATATTTTTGCTATAACTAAAAATTAAATTCAAATTTATGGTTAAAACTAATTTATTATTAATATTCTTATCGAATATTATGTCATATTATTTAACTAATGAAATAGATTTACAGTGACTTTTGTACTGTTGATAAAAACAATGACTTTATTTTAATAGAGTAGATTAACTATAATTAATCTATTAGTCTAAACTTTTAAGAGTTCGCTTAGCATTCACATACTGCAATTAAATCCATATCGATCAGCATAGTTGTATAGTTATATACTTATATTACATCTTATACTATTCCACATGCATGGTGTTAGCTATTAGCCTATTACCGAACTTCATATCGATCAGCATAGTTGTATAGTTTTGAGCGTTGTCACTGAATACACAAACATCAAAAACTTGTTTCATTTCATTGTTTAAAATAAACTAGATTTCGAACCCGTCGGTATATATTTTCATGTTTATATATAAATACTTTTACGAGTCAAAATAAATATTTTTAATGTTAGTCACATATTTAAATATTTGTATGATTATTTAAAATACAAGAAATTTATAGTTTTTATGCTGTAAATTCATATCATCACATATAAATGTTTTTCTTATTATATATTTTTCTTATTGAATTTCCGTGTTATTATTAAACCAATTTCTTATGTATGAAAAAAACATATTTTGTTTATAATTTATTATGACCATAACATGTAATTTAAAACGCTATTATCATTTTTATATTTATTCAGTTTATGTATAAATTACTGTATATAAAAAGTTTAGATAAATTGACTTTTATAGATGAATTATATAGTTTACGAATGTTAACCCATTCTACGAACATATTATATTTTTAAAATGAATATTATATGTTTATTAACATAAATATATTAACTTATCAATTTCAAAAAGTTTATCATATTTAGTTTAATATAATGGTTTTCTTTTAAAAAGATAGGTATTATTAGAAAATAGATAAAAAAAAGATTTAATTTTATTTTTTCATTTTATAAAATATATATATATATATATATATATATTAATGTATAATAACATTTCATGACTAATTATGAATTTAGGAAAATATTTATGTTCAGTTTTTGACAATTAAGATCTTGTTATAATATTTTTCAACAGATTTGCTATAATATATATATATATATATATAAATTAAAAATATCAAAAGATATTATGATTAAAGTAGTTAAAAATATTTTATATTATTAGCATTAAGGATATAAATTTAATAAAAAATTAAATGATGGTCTAAATAAAACATGTCACACATCAAAGAAATCATAATTTTTTATTTTAATAGAATATATATATATATATATATATACATCATATATATTTAAAAAAAAGAACATAAAATAAATATTTTTTGTAAAAATTTTTAAAATTATTAGTAAAATGTATTTTGAAATTAATCAATTTCTATCTTTTATTATGAGCGAAAATGATTAAAAGTATTTAGTTTTTAATATTCGTTTATAAACTAAAACTAAATTAAATTTTAATTTCTAATCATATTTTATGATAATTTAAAGTAAAATTAACTAGTTTTTGAAAGTATATTTAAAAAGATTCTAACGAGATTTTTTAAAACATTTTGTTAAAACATTTTAAATATATTCATTTGTACTTAAAATAAAATGTTGTGCCTCTAAAAATATAAAGATATTGAAGGATATAATAATGAACTTAGGTAAAATTTGATATTTTCTAGGAATACATTCAAATTTTAAAAAAATCACACATGAAGTGAAGTCATAACTTCTATTTTAATATATAAGATTGTTTCATTGAAGTTCTGTGAATTTTAGTTAAAGATATGACCATGCATAGATATATGAATGAAGTATTAAACCGAACAAAAAGTCTGACTTCAATTTCAATTTTTTTTTTATTATGAGTGAATATGATTAAAAGTATTTCATTTTTAATATTCTTTTATAAACTAAAACTAAATTCAATTTTAATTTCTAATCGTATTTTATGATAATTTAAAGTAAAATTAACTAATTTTTGAAAGTATATTTAAAAAGATTCTAAGAGATTTTTAAAAGATGTTGTTAAAACATTTTAAATATATTCATTTGTATTTCAAATAAAATGATGGGCCTCTAAAAATATAAATATTTTAAAAGATATAATAATGAACTTATGTAAAATTTAATATTTTCTAGGAATACATCTAAATTTTTTAAAAAATTCACACATGAAGTGAAGTCATAACTTCAGTTTTAATATATAAGATTGTTTCATTGAAGTTCTGTGAATATGCATATATATATATGAATGAAGTATTAATCCGAACAAAAAGTCTGACTTCAAAACTTTTGTTTTGCAGTTACATTTTTATATATCCGTATTCAAAATAAAAATATCCAGCTCACTCTCCAGGATCAGCTATCATCAGATATATTGCTTTTCATCACATTCAGCAGAGAAATCTCAGGTTGCGAGGGCCTTGCACCAAACCATCAGCTTCTTCACTCTCCATGATCAGCCTACTTAGGTTAGGAGGAAGAACCCCTTAGTTCGTACTAACCTCCGATGTGTAATCAACATGTAGGTGGCTTCAACTCGTTTGAATAAGAATCATTGATTTTCTCTCCTGTCCATTTTTTATTCATTCAAGGTGCTCGGCTGATGCTCCTTTTGCAAACCCAAACGACTCTGAATGTTAGGGAAGATAAACCTAACTGGTCAAAGAGACTTAACTTATATGAACCGAACAATAGCATATTGAAGTAGATTAGATCTATGCTTGAAGTAGTCTATTCTCGTCAATATGAGCTTGAAAAAATGTCTGGAAAATCTTGAGAGAAGCTAGGGTTACCGACCATATACTTTCCTATGAGGTGATCAACACATTCGAGCCTTATCCAAAAGGCTCAATATGCTCAAGTAAGCATATTACAAAACCTTTGTGAGTGACAGGAGTTCGCCAAAGGAATGCTTATCTTAATCAATTTTGCAATTTAGCAATAATAATTATATGCAATTTTTATGTTTAATATAAATAAACATAGTACAGTTTAGATAAATTGTTTAAAATACGCTATGTTGTCTACCGCTTTTCAAAACTACAATCAATCAAAAAAAATTATAACATTTGGATTTAGGTTTGGTGAATATTGTTTAAGATTTAGTATTTAGGGGGTGGGGTTGAGTTTATAAACTTATATAAATGTTTATAAACTATTCATAAACATTTGTAAATAATTTAGGGGAGATGATTTAATATTTTTAATCATAAATTTAAGGTATTTATGGAAATAGTTATTTTATGGTAAAATTAAAGTTCCCTCGACAATTTATATAAGATTATCATCTACACAAAAATTAGAACATCTCAGATTTTGTTGTTTACAAATAGAATTTCAAATAAATTAAACAATTTTTGTCTTCAAAATGAATTAAAATTTAATAAACTACATATCTTTACACCAAAATGAAAATTTATAACATTAAAAGTATAACAAAAACAGAATAAAAATATACAATTAAAGAAGTTAATGGATGCAATACCATATTCTATTTATCGCAATTTAACTTGGAACCTGTCTAAAGGAGATGTATGAAACTTATGTAACTTGCGTGTTTATGTCAGTTTTGGTTCAATTTATTGAACTTTAATGCGGGTTAGTTTACTTTGTTTTGAGGTTAGAGCTTGTCTTAGAGCATCTCCAACCCCACTCCATAATTTACTGCAAAATGGAGTGGGAAATGGAGGGATGAAGAAATAAAAAAGTGATTACTCCATATTTGGAGTAATGAGATTTTTGTTTCTTCATCACTCCATTCTTCACTCCATTTTGGAGTAAAATATGGAGTGGGGTTAGAGATGCTCTTAGAGCATCTCCAAAAGACACTCTATAACACCAAATATAGAGTTTTTGGTTCTCCAAAAAGAAACTTTAAAAATTTAAAGAGTGAAACTTCATATTTGAAGTTTCAATTCTCAAAACTCCAAATTTGAAATTTCTCTTTTTATTTGCATTTTAGTTCTTACAATTAATTATCTATCATATTTATGATTTTCAATATTTTTTCGTTTAACATTTTAATCCTTAAAAATTTTATATTTTATAAATATTTCAGATCTTTTTTTATAAATTTAATTTTTAAACATAAACCTTTAAAATAAAATTTATATTATTGTAAAACTAAAATTAGACTTGACGAATATTAAAAAGGAAACTTAAAAAAATAATTAAAAGGTACATGAAAAGCATAGTTATTACATAAATTTAAATATTACAACAATATTAATAGTATGGTAAATTTTCTCTAAAACTTTCAAAATCTCCAAAAGATTATTCAAATAAGTATTGAACCGAAGATGGAGCATTAAGAAAATAATTTATTGAAATAATATGATATTTTCTTTGTAATTTATTATTTAGTTATGTATTTCTATTTACAGTTTAATATTTTAGAGTAAATATTTTTAATTGATATTATTGTTATGTTTTTTCATATATGTGCTAGTTATTTATAAAAAAATATGAATTTATATAAATTATGACAAATATAAGGACCATAGAGTAAAATACAAATAATTTTAGAGTTAGATTTGCAGTTTAGCTTTTGGAGAAGAACATATTGAAACTTCAAAAATAGAGTTTTGCAAACTTTAAAATAGAATGTCTTTTTGGAGATGCTCTTAGCAAAGTCGAAGTTTTTTCAATTGGCCCCTCATTCCCAGAAATTATGATCAGACGGTCCATCTCGCATTTTATAATCTGGTATAACATACTTGGGCATTTAAGGCCCCAGCAAAAGGAAATACATATAATCCGTTCATAATGATACTTTATGCTAGATCAAATACATCCATTATCGTGTTGTAAAAGTACTTATAATATCGTCGTTTAATGTTGTTTTGGAGATTTTTTTACGTGGAACTGTGACCCCAACTTGACGGACAAAACGTGATAATATATTCTTTGGCAGAGCACGTGACCAGAGGAGGAGGTGTATCGTAGGCATAACTGTAATAACTGGGACAAGCTTCTTTAAACAACATAGAGTATGTAGTCCTTTTGCACTTTTCCGGCGTTCCGTACGCATTCCGACAGCAAAACCTGTCGTTATCAAACGCTAAGCAAGCACTCTTGCATGCCACGACTCGTCCTTCTTTGTTCACAACCTACAAAACGGCGAAAATTAAAAAGGAATCAATATCTCAAAGATCATTAATTATATTTTGAATTATCAAAAAGAAACGACTCATCATTTAGGTCAAAAGGTCACCATTTTTAGGTAGTCACTAGTCAGTCAAGAATATGTTTCGGTTTTAGATTTGAGTATTTTATATATCCCGTGTATGGAAAAAGAAAATGTAAGTAAGAAGTTATACCTGTAATTCTTCGGGACAAGTAGTTTTGAGATCTCTATGGCAACCAAAGATGGTGCATTTGGATGATATGGGCTTGGAGGTCACTGAGACCGGGAGGTTATAACCGTCCACAAGACTTACATCATAGAAATTGAGTTTCGATTTGTCTGCTTGTACCGCAATTTGGATAAGTGTTGCCGGTGGTTTTCCGATCAACCCGTTACACTCCAAACGTCCATCACAATCACCTAAGATTCATTGTAATACGACGATAATTATACGTCCAATTATACTTCTATATACAATATGTGTTAAAAAAAAAACTATATCTTATCAACCATCGTCATGTTATATGTGGAATAAAATAAATGAAAGCACCTCTGAAAAGAAAAAAAAACAATTTTAAGAAAAAGGTATGTTCAAGCATAATTATGAATTTTATGACCATTATACTCTTATCTCTAGAGTTGTTATTACTAGTAAAAATAAAAATAAAACTAATGAGATATATCGGATAAACTCTACGGTATAAATGTAAACATTTGCCTGATCAATGCTAGTTCGGCAGAATACTTAACATAAAGGTCTGAATGGTGCTCCAGGTACAAGTACCTTAAACATGTCTACACTATCATCATTTCTTACGCTCCATACGTTGTAATAATATCAAACAGAAATTTTGCTTTTAAATAAATTTTTTTTTTTTTCAAATGGTCTATGACACAAATGTATTTGAAATTACAGTTACCCGTTTCACATGCTTGATTCCAATTTGAAGTGAAATCACAGCCTGTTCTAGCCCAAATACGACCATTCCAACCCCAAGGAACATCGATGCGTCTGGTGTTTCCGCATGGCAGGTAAAATCCACCGGAGGCCAGCACCGGGTGGCCAGAGTTGGGGGCAACAGCCGGCCAAATGGGAAATGGGCATTTATTTTGTACATAGAATGTTACTTCATGACATGTTACTGTACCTATGAACATATAGCATTGATCATATATAGTCATTACTCATGATAGAATTAAAAATACAAAAAAAAAAACTAAAAATACAAACAACGTGGTTTCCTTTTTTAAAAAGGGAAAAAAATTACCGTGTACTACACAACTCCATATAATGAAAATATGCAATCGGGAGCTAGATTGGATTCTCATTGGCACTTTCGTTGGAAGTTGGCTCTATCATTAAATGATAAAATTTTGAGTATTTATAAGTTGCCAGATATGTGATATTTAAAAAAAAAAATTATGTTGTTGTCGATCTTAAGTTATGCTTAAAGATTAGATTATGGGTAGAGCTAAGGTTTAATCTTTTAAGACACGGGAGTTGATGTCGCTTCCGATGGTATTAAAAAACTTTTGACTAGTACTATGTTCCTTTTACGAAAATCAATGGAACGATGGTGAAATTGCAAGTGTTTTTAGGGATAGTTGGATACTTACAAAAAAGAAACTAAGTAGTAGTATTATGAATTCGACAACGATATATAAATACCCACAAAAAAATTGTTTATCGTTGTATAGTTTTTTTTATTAGTGCTATATCTTATATATTGTTTTAGTCAGTTATTCATTAACCTTCATTTAGAAACAAATTGGATCGAAAATAAATAGTGATATGGTAATAACATCAAGGATAAACCAATATATTATCATACTCTAATTTGCTTTATAACTACTAAAAAACTACTTTATTAAATATCAGTAATAAACCGACGCTGATGTTTCAACCACCATTTTAAGCTTAATTAATATTTGAATTTTGGAGATACAAAATTTATTCTGTAGATATATAAATACCCACAAAAAAATCATGTTTATCGTTGTATAGTTTTTTTTATTTGTGCTATATCTTATATATTTTTTGGTCATTTTATTCATTAACCTTCGTTTAAAAACAAATTGGATCGAATATAAATAGTGATATGGTAATAACATCAAGGATAAACCAATATATTATCATACTCTAATATGCTTATAACTACTAAAAAACTACTTTATCAAATATCAGTAATAAACCGATACTGATTTTTCAACCACCATTTTAAGCTTAATTAATATTTGAATTTTGGAGATACAAAATTTATTCTGTAGATATACAGACCAAACTAATAATTTTGTTTACTGCCTTTTCTGTATAAAATGTATCAATATAACCAATAAATATACTTTATATGTAATTTTGGTTGAACTATATGTGTACTGTTACTGAATGAGTGCATTATGTAGATTAAGCAATAGTGCTTTAAAGTATTACACATTTTCAAGTTATCTTTTACACAATAACACACTTTGAACTTGTAGAGCATTTTAAGTTTGGTTTTGTGTATTTGTAGAAGAAAATACATGTAATGTTGGTTTGTAACAAAAGAAGTAATTATTCTATTTTTGTGGTCTGAGTAAAAGCGTTAATTTATAACACGTGTCAAACATATAAAAGTAGCTTAAAATCTTAACTACTGAAAACAATAATACAAAAACTAAGGTGGTTGAAATTAAGAGATAGTGTTTTTGGCAGATTGTGTTCAACCTAGATCTAAATTTCATATTTACTTCTTCGTGTATCTTTTTTTCTTCATCGACATCGAATATCTATCGCCAATGACAATTCTTCTAGCTGACTTTTTTTGCCAAACTGACTCGCCTTCATCGATGGGTCGGGCCTGAGCCCATTTCTATGAAACATTTGAATATGACCCCAACATTTGAAGAACCTCCAATTTTTTTTTAAATTTTTTTGTTAGCTTAAAAATTTAATATAATATACAATAATACATAACATTTTCAAATATACATATAGTAATTAAAATACTAAATGAACTATAAATGTATATAATATAATATTATATAAGATATGTGCAATAAATTTATTTAAGTATTTTAATTTGATTGTAAAAAAACTTTGTAAATTCAAAAAAACAAAGTTATTGTGGGGCTCCAAATTTTACAGGCCCGGATCGATCCATCCTAATTCATAATTTTAGTTTCAGAGATTCCAGTTGTATACATATCCAAGACGAGAGTTTTAACAATGGTTGTAAAACATGCATTTTGGTTTGGAGACTTAACTAAATTTGTTTTATATGTGTTTTGGTTGTTTGAAATGGCTATACACTTCAAGGATTGGTAAGTTATGTGTCTTGGATGAGAAAGCATTTCACACTAATGTGCTGTTGGTCAGAGATACAAATGGGTGACGACCCGTGTTAAAAAATGTGGCTGTCTAGACATGTTAGCGGACGTAAAATTGCTGTTCGGAGACCAATCAACGCGATTTTAGCCGACTGAGCTTAATGAATCATTTGACAATTAACTATCCATTTAACATCATTAGACCACATCAATATATGGTATAGTTTCCCATAAAACACCCATATATCTGAAAATCAAGAGAATATATTTAAAATTAATCCCCGATTAATCTTTGATTTTGTTCAAGTTGTTAGGTCCATCTAATCTGCCCGACTAATGCCTAGCATAACTCTAAACACAGGTGAAGAATGATTAGCAGTGAATGAGATATGTCTTTTGGTGGATAGCTTCGGATAGGAATTGGACAGTCTTTCAATGAATGCATGTATTCTTTGATTTGTGAATTTATCCTTTAAATGTTAATGGTAAAATTGAGGAGGAGAGAAGTTTCAGCGTAAAATGTATTTGTGAAAGCGGAAATTTAGAAAGGAAAAATAAATTCTAAATTTTAGTATTTCATTGTAGTCAATAAAGATATGAGAGGTGGATGGAATAATTAAGATTTTAAGTATTCTTCTTAAGAAATGGGAACGAACAAGAAAAATTGCAGAAAATGCCAATTTTGGGGTTAAAAAAAAAACTTTAGTTACAGTGTGTCTTTGTGTAAATAGAGTTCTAAAAGGCGTGTGGTAAATTTAACAATTACGAAAAAGTTTCAAATTTATATTACCATGATACTTGACTTGGAAAAAGTTAAACAAACTATTGTAAGACATCTCTGATTTATATGATTGGTTTTTGATTTATATATATATATTATAAATATATTAACATATTTAAATTTATTAATTATGTTTTATTTTTTTAAAATATGCTGTATTTTCTAGTTTATGATGTAATTTTGTGTACTTTTTAATTTATTCATACATGTAAATCTTAAAATATTATTAATAACATTGTCTAGTTATTTAAAAAAATTATATATTTAAATATGAAAATTATGAAAATTAGATATTTAAATAAGGTGATATATATGAAGATGACATTTATTATTGAGTTTATCTATCTTCCTTATTTTAAATATTAAAAATACAGATATATCAGTATAACTACATTACTTAATTTTGTTATTTAATAAAAAAGGTGTATGGAACTTTATTTATGATTATAAAAATTATAATTGATTTGTGCTAAAGACATTATATTAACGTAGTGTTAATATAATTTGTCCAAATATAAAAATATAGGAAATTTCATAAGAACTCGAAATATGTGATATATTATAGTTTTTCAAACTTATAATGATATTTAACGTTCTACTTTCAAAATTTAATAATTTTAAAAATGGAATAGTATGTTACGAAGTTTGTTTTTACCTAATACATTAGTTATATTAGTTAAGAGAATTTGTAATTTGATTATCCAAATGGGTGTATATATGCAAACTAAACTAACATATTATAAATACTTAGAAAAAGGATTATAGATACATAGTTGTCAAAAAAGAATCTTCTAGGTACAAATATAATACATGAAAAAACAAAGTAAACTCATCTCAAATTCTCAGCAACCGGATTTCAACGGTTGTGCTACTATGTCATGCCTTCAAGTCGGCGAGCGGATGAGAAGAGTTCGCCATTCCGAACTGATGGGTTTGTGAAGATTACAATAATTTAGAAGAATAACATGATGTATTGCACAGAATAGAAGTCGCTTATTTATAAGTGTTGATCCGAAAGCATTTACATTAGAGCTGAGCGATTAAAGCAACCAACACGGCCACATGTCTTCCAGAAGTTGAGTTCAATACTAGTGGAAACTGGACAATGAAAAACGGGAAAGCCGATATAGCCATTATTCTCGCAGCATAGCTGGTCCAAACATCAATACAAACACCATAATCTACAGATTAATAGGCAACAACAATCGCACTTATATAAGTCAGAGAAAAATGAAGAATCCAATCCAGAAGATATAAACACTTTCTCCTTACCTTATATGAAAGTCTTTAGTGTTATGTTTTATTACAACAATAGTATAATGAATGTCACACTTGCCAACAACTATGCCAGTTTCTTAAATAATAGTGAGAAACATAAAGGTGTAGTCACCAAATAAACCTATTCCCACAGAGATTTGACTTTGCGCAGTTGATACATCTCCAGAAAGTTCAGACATTTAAACAATCACCAACAAACAAATAAGATTTAAAACCCATAGAGAGAAAACTGCAAACCTCAAACTTTACATGAAAAAATTATATTGACAGAAGGAAAAAATGATTGACTCATTGACTAAACAAAGATTCACTTTCAATCTCTCAAAGATAGACACAAGTTATACATCAATGTATCATCGCTACTCACTTTTTGTTTCAAAGAACCAAACAACGATTCAATTTATCTCAAAGTTCAATAAAGAATATATTATTTCACCTACCTATAATAAACACAACGTTAAGGTGTGCTCCGAGCATGGAAAAAATCAAACAACCGACGATTCAAAGAAAATGATCTTGAGAAGAAGCTTTTTTAAATGCAAACAAAGTCCCACATTGGCAATTTAGAAAAATAATGTTTAGTATATAAAGGGATGCCTAACTCTGACTAGTACGAGGCCTTTTGGGAAGAAGCCCAAAACCAAATCCATGCAGGCTTTGCTTTCGGACCCAAAGTGGATCTATATCGTACTAATCAGATCTATAAGTTTTGAACATGGACTTGGACGAACCCCAAAAATTGGTATCAGAGCCGGGATGACGAAAATTCTGCAAGAAGACCAAAATAACCTTCAGGTTCGAAATGCTCCACCTTCGATGGGAAGGGATGGTATGTAGCAGAGACTGTCAAAGATCCTGGAAGCTTCGGTTGTGGAGGAGGATCCTCATGGTGACTTCGCGATTAAGAGTGCCGGAGACCTGTACCGAAAGTCTCTCCCGAACAATGATACAAAAATTAGGTGGATATTCCTAACGGTGATGCAAGGATTA